GTATAATCTGTGCACGCTCTTGCTGGTTAAGTGCTGTCAGCTGTCTATTTATAAAAGAATATGACCTAATAAACATTTTTCCTAGATAGGAGGCTGCTGTACGATCAGCACAGTGACACTGGATTGCTTTAGTGGGTGTATACCTGTAGGCACACTGATCACACCGGAGTCCTTGTAGGCATAAGCACTCGCTACTGGTCAAGGATCCTCAGCCAGTATGAGCTGTTCCTACAAAAATTAGCAATGCCAGGCTGGGAACTTGTGTCTTGATGTACCCTAGGGACATAGGAATGGCTCAGTGTAACAGTGAGCCAGCTTTGGTCCAGCAACAACATCAGGAAGACGTGGGAAAGAGGCTTCTTGCCACCTGTGAAAGGAGCAGACAGCCACCAGAGCCCAGCTAAGGGCTGATGACCACCAGCACACTCAGTCTTTTCATCCTCATCCCTTCTTTTCCCAGAGTGGCATTTGGGAACCTGGCCAGCATTCAGGGTCAGCCAGGTGCGGGTGGCTGTACCCGGCTGTATGGCTGCGAGGGCTCAGGGCACAGGGAGGCGAGCGGAGATGTGCTGGTGTGGGAAGGGCTCTCAGGAACGGCTTCGGCAGAGGAGGGGCAGCTTCACCCTGTGTGTGATCGCTCCCAAGAGCTCAGTGGGATGTGTGACCCTGAGATTACCCTTGCAGGAGCACTGGCTCCCAAAGTTTGCTGCTGCTTTTCTCTTTATAATGCTGTGTACAAGGCAAAACTCAACAAGCAGCAAAGTTTCACTGAATGAAAGTACGACCCATTCAAGGAGGGGACACCCGCTTGTCTGTCCTTGGCAGAGAGAGGTGGCAAGCCTGATGTCCCAACGTCTGTCAGTGCAAGTGTGAGTCAGAAGGAATAAATGCCCTTGTCGCACACAGTCAGTAGCTTCAGTGGGAGGCAAGAGGGGCTCTGCAGTACAGCCTGCTCTGCTGGGTTCTCCTAGCCCTGAGGACCAGGGCGACATGGCCCCTTTCCTCCCAAGGCTCTTTCTAAACAATTCCCTTCTGCAGGCACTTGGGCTTGTGGAAGAGAAGCCAGGCAAACAGGAGCACAGACACCAGCACGAGGGAGCACAGCACCATCAGACCCACGTAGCTACTGTAGGAAAGAGGGGGCATAGCGCGCTCCTCTGCGGGGATCATGTTGGTCAGGTTCAGCATGTAGCCCAGGGTCCAGCCCGCATCGCTGCTGCCGATCTGAAATGGGAGAGGCGCAGAATCAGCACTGGCCATTGCCAGGGCAGTGGCACCCCCAGGGAAAAAGGGCCAGGATGTGCAACAGGATTGCAGTGAGCTGCTGGGGTAGAACCCTCCCTGCCACAAAACACACCTTTCCAAGGAAGTGGATGCTTTGCCAGTTCTTTTCAGTGAATTCGTAGCCATTTTCCAGGAGAGAGAGGATGTAGGCTCCAGAGAAGCAATATTCACTCAGGTACTTTTCTTTTATTTGGTGATACGCTGCCTTCACCTAGGGAAGGAGGAAGTTACCAGGCTGTTAAACACAGCTTCCCACTGCTCCAGCTTGTACCTGAGCATCCACTGTAGGTGCTGGGGGGGATCTTCCCCCTCTTGCCTTGGAAGTTACCTCCAATCATTTATCCTACAGGAAAATATCAGCTGTTCTTGCCACCCGGAGCACCAGCCCACAGCCACAAGCACTGCTCACCTCATGCCAAGGCCGGGCGCAGAAGCTCTCAATGGTGCTGGCCACTTTGTCCAGGGCAATGGGGCTTTGATCACTGGTCAGGTTCAAAAAGTTCATCACAAAGTAGAATGCAGAAAAAGCCTGAAGGAGAAAGAATATTTTAACCTGGCTGGGCCTCAGCATGAGCAGGACAGTGGAAATCCCACAAAAGAAAATGGTTTTATTTACAGATAGAGAAATATAAGCAGCAACATCATGCACACAAAAGTAGGCATATTTTCAAGAGTGATGTCATTTGAAGACACACTCCTCCAACCTGATGAGAGCTAAGGACCCCAAAAGGAAGGTGGAGGTAGGAACTTGACTGACCACGGTATCCTGAAGAACTTCAGTAAATCCCTCTCCTCTACGCGCTGATGCCAGAGTGGCACATGGTGAACGCTGCTTGCCATCACGACTGTGATTCTGTTTTCGCAACTGAACGAGATGAGCGTGCAGCCCATATCACCACAAACAGCAGAGGTGATCATCTGAAAGGACTGGACACAGCCCAGCATATAATCCAAGGTCCAGAAAACCCATCTCTGACCATGGCCAATTGCTGATATGTAGGGCACAATTCATGAACAGGGCAAGGGAGTATTAACAGTTTCCCCACAGAACGTCACCACCAGTGGAGTCTTGCTGCTCTAGGACTGATGTTTAGCGTGGTGTCAGACATGATGTGCATGCAGAATGTGCACTGTTCTTCATCGCATCTGGGAAGCAGTCAGGTGAACTGACTGATGGGTTTCAGTAGCGCTTACGTGCTTCTGGACGAATTTCAGATCTGGTACCACCATTGACCTCAGGAGACAAGGTTTGCAGAAGCCGTGTATCATGCACAGCCTGCAGCATGCTCTCCTGCCTCTGGTGCTGGCCATCAGGAAGGACTGCTTGAAAAATGAATCAGTAAATGGAGCACCCCAAGGAGATGCCTGCGGGAGATGGCTTAGTACCAGTAGGCCAGTGTTAACTGGGATAGCTCTTACACGTGCTGTCCTCACAGCAAGTGCAGCACTACTTTCATAGTTATATGTCCAAAGAGCCTTCTTGTAAATGACATCCTGCCCCTACCATGGACAATACACTCTAGCATCACTCTGAGTTTCTGCTCTTCTGATATTCTGCTTTATAGAGAGTTGAAGGATGTGAAGACTTACCCCAAAATCCCCTTGTAATGGAGGTAGGTATATCTCATTGAAGGAGCAACTGGAGTAAGGACAATTGTTTTTGTTAAAGAGTTTCTGGATGTTTCTTCGGCACTTTTGATAATCCCCCTCTCCCTGTATGTACAGTTGGCTGAAAGGCAACTGCTTTTTCTTGGCTGATGTACAAGGGTTTTTTAAGAAGTCACTTGTATTTATAGTCCTCTGATACCCCTGGTGAAAGCATGGATCAAGGAGGCTGCTGTTCTTCATGGTCTGAAAGTAAAATCAACCCAAGCTGTTACACTCCACTCTAGAGTAACACCTTGGGAAAAAGCCACAGGGAAGGGTGGCCACAAGGCACTTGTCACAGTACATCACACCAAGATACACACATCAGGTCAAAACGAAGAGGATGGTTTAAGGCATTGGTTGTGATTTGGGAGATGTGGGTACTGCCACAGACTCTCTGAAGGATCCTTGGCAAATTACTTTCAGCCACATTTTGTGAAGCTGCTGCTTATTTGGGATTCTCAGAGATGGTGAAACATCACCTCCTGCTAGTACTTCAGTTAAGCACAGTACCTCTGCTATCCATGCCCAAGAAAAACGGCACCTCAAATGGTAGTACCTTTGACCATCTCTTCAGTCATCTGCCCAGTCTTTATGGAGGATGATAGCATTTCCCAAACCCAGACTAAGGGATGAGACATTTAGCTGGGACACAGCAACTTTTGCAGCACCAGTATGTCAAAGCTGGGAGGGCCCAGGATCTCCACCTGCAATTAAAAAGGTACTTGCCTGTAGGTCCCTGGCCAGTTTCTGTTGCAGAGCCTGGTCCTTCCCATAGCAGAGGAAGCTGTGCGTGTACACTAGGTAATCCTTGCCATAGAGACGGAAGTAGAGCATGTTCTCTGGGGACTCAGAAGAGAATTTATCTGGTACAAAGGTAATCTGTGTTGAGGCTCCTCCAAGGTCTAATGCTCCTGATGTCTCACTTATGGATTTTAGGGAATGTAGAAGTTTTGTCCAGCCAGACTTTAAAAAAAAATAAAAATTCAAAGTAAAACAGATACAATCAGGCACAGAGAAGATTTATTTGAGACCAAAAAAAGAGAGAAAGACCTATGAGGAGAGAAGCAGAAGCACAGAACACAGGAAAGGCAGGAAGACCTGGAGAGGGGCATGAGATGAGAGCTGGAACAAGACACAAGAAAGACGCAGGCTTGGAAAAGCAGAAGATAGATCATGTCTGAGTGTTTGCAGAAGGACTAAGAAAGTGAAATCTAATAGAGTTGTTATGAGAACAACCAGTCAACTTACTGGTTGATTCATAAGGTGATTTATAAGCTCAATAGTAAAGAATCATTGTCAAACTTTGCAGGCACAGAAATATTTTAGATCAGGAAGTGAGAAGGATGCTGTACTCAAGTGAAGTTATCAAAGATGGTGGAGTTTTATTTTAATGCTTTAAGCCTGACTACAGTGGTACATCTTGATACTTATTGGTATCGGGATGTAGTTATAGTAACTGCTGAGGCAAGATGTGCAGCTTTCTGATCTCTCGAAAATGGCTTACAAGGGAAGATAGTGCCTGTGACACCCTCCTGCAAGGCATGATTTGCAAAGTGCTGCAAGCTGATGATTCAAATATGAACTTGCTGTTGATACGGTACCTGCTTGAAATTGCCCAGCAGGTAGTTAATGGTGATCCATCCATACGCTCCTTCTTCCTGACCGCTGATGATTCTGGCACCCTGGAAGTTGAAGGGAGCTGAGCGTAGCGTCTTCTCTACTGAGGACAAAACTTTGGCAGCTGCGCTTTTATTCTCCAAGCTGGATGAATGGAAGAAAGGATGGAGTGACTCTGGCTGACAGCTCTCCACAGCCTATGGGCTTTATTCTGAGTATGTTGGCTGCAACTCCCCACCAAGCGTTAACTATAACAGAATAGTCATTATATTGGTACATCCAGCTCTAACTGGCCACGTTCCTCTCTGTCACACCTTGACAGCACAGCTACCACCAGCTCTGACACTTACAGACCCTGCAGCTGAGAGTGGTACCTGGAGCAGAGACCAGAGCTCTCTTGTTCTCCTCGAGCATATACCCTGGTAGGAGTTGCACCGTGGAGATTCCTCTCACTCTTTGCCATCATCATTACAGAAGAAATCCTTGTCCTCTGACATCCCCAGAGAGATTTTCCATACAATACATACATAAAATCAGCTTCCTGCCCCAGTCAGGCAAGAGGTCTAGGGCTCCCCCATGAGAATCACAAAATAGAATTAAAGGAGGATATGATTATAAAGATACTTTAGCTCTGATGGTCTCGGGCTGAGTCAAGGTACATGGGGAGTCACAACATGGTTGGGCTCAAAAATCCTGGGTCAAGCCTAGCACCAGACTAACGGGAGTGTCTGAGCATCCCCTCAATGTGGGGAATGTCTGAGCATCTCCTCAGCATCAGCTTGGGCATTGCTACCCTCCTGGTGTCTCTGCACTGCACGTGGGTGCTGGAGATGATGGAAGGTTGCAGTGAGTGGAAATAGACCTGCTGGTCAAGCAGAGGAAGAGCCCAGGGAGACTTGGGGCTCAGTGAGGCCAACAGCAGAAGAGGGTACCTAGGCAAAGTGTGAGCTGGGAGTGTTTTCAAGGACTTTTCCCAAGAGGTCCCAGGCATGGGACAAGCCCTGTAGTACCTGAGAAGTCGCATGCCGGCGGTTGCTCCGAGGTAGACAGGTGTCTCTTGGTGCTGCTTTGAGGGAATCACCTCTTCTGCTTGTTGTAGGCACTGTGCCAGAGAGGGACCTGCCTTCTCCGTGGCATGGGAGTAACCTGAGATCCCAGGGCCTGCAAGAAATAAGGGCGCTTCATTGCCCAGCTCCAAGCATAACCCCAGAGTGCTGTCATGAGCAGTCGTGTTAAACCGTATTGCTATCACAGGCAGCAACATCAGATTCAACCACCTCATTTCTAAGGAGTTTTAGAAATCCTACAGCACCAATTAGTCTTGATGCATGCAGGGATGGCCACGGCGCCCAGCATCTGCCACCTGCTCTCTGCAAAGCAGAGTATGAACTAGTGATGTGGGCTGCAGCAAGACAGATCATTTGCTTAGTGTGTCCGTCCTGGACATCTGCAGACTCATCTCTGCTTCTGCCTGAGTGTACTCTGGATCCACGCCTGAAAATCCCTGATCCTTCATTCCAATGGGTTCTCTGGGGGGGGATGCTGTCATTTGTTTGTCTATTGTATGCTCACACTACAGCA